TTCCCCTTAAGAGGCAAGGCTCAGGCCCTTCAAAGAATGACACGCCACCGAGCGCGCACGTTAGTCAGCAAGATGCATCCTCCGGCGCCAAAGTTGCGCTGCGAACAGAGGAAGAGCAACAGGCAAAGGCGCGACAGCGCGAAGAACGGGACCGAAGGGAAGCGCGCCGAAAGTCATTGGCGAATCGTAGAGTATCCTTTGCAGCCGAAGCAACACTACACACATTTCACGAAATCGACTTCATGCAAGAGGCATCCAGGGATTCATCCCGGCGCGCATCCTCAAAACCTAGCACCAACGACAAAGCTTCGAGCCGAACCAGAACGCCACAAGAGCAGGTTGACGGTTTGGTGCCAGAATCACCAGAAGACCAAAGGGACGCCCATCAGAGAAAACGAAGAAGAAGCTCTGCCCTCCCAGCCGCGAACTATGGCGACAACGATGATCCTACGATGGCATCGTCAATATACAGCTCCGACTCGGAGCCTGCCGATGCTGTGGAAGAAATTCAAGATGACGAACAAGAGGAGGACTCCAACTCTGATGATGACTCCGACGTGGACGACGGCACGATGATGACGGTCGAGGATCACGAGGTCACTGGCGCATCGGTCATGTCTGCCATGTCTGGTCGCTCAGGATCGTCGACTGGCGACAGTGACACACTGGAAGAAGCACTTCGTATGGCAGCGCGCACGGCCGGCACCCAGAAACTGGGCCTCGACGACTCTGAGGGCGAAGAAGAAGTCATCCCATCATTTGGTTGGATCAAGAAGAACTCCGACAAGAGTGATGCTCCTCAAGATGGAAAGCATGCAGGCCACGAACCGCCATCGCCCCCGGCTGACGATGTTGACGAAGACGATGGCGCTATGGAGATGGACATGGAAATGACCCAAGCTGTGGGCGGCATTCTTCCCTCACCAGATGACGAACAAGACGACGGAGAGCTCGACATGTCCATGGATGTAACTCGCGCCATTGGTGGCATTTTATCGCAACCTAGGGACAAAATTGCCAATCCACACGAGCATGGGGAAGAAGGCGAGGAAACAATGCAAATGGACGAGACCATGGAAGTTACCAAAGCTCTCGGAGGTATTCTGAGGAGTGTGCCAGATCTCGAACCAGACGAGAATGAAGACATGTCAATGGAAATCACAACAGCCATCGGCGGCCTCATTCCGGCACGCAACACCAACCAAGCCACTGCCACTCGGCGCAGAACCATGACTTCGGCCAACAGCAAGAACCTGGATGACGACACCATGGACATGGATATGACCGTTGGTGTTGGTCGGATCTTGCCATCTGTGACTGGGGCCCAAGGCCAGGACGACGGAAATGCTACAGTCGGCATGGATATGACCATTGGTGTTGGGCGTATCTTGCCAGCTGCCAGCAACGACGAAGACAACGTGGAACAAGACCAAACTATGGGCATGGACATGACTGTCGCCATGGGCAGTATTCTCAAGGGTCCTCATGTGCCAGAGTCCCGCAGTGATGCTAAGAGGTTCATGGAAGAGGAGGTCGACAAGCCAGATTCACCTTCAAAAGCCGGATCAATAGGTGTTCCCCCAAAATCGCCAGCACAACGGCTTGCCGCTTCAACCAAGCCAACAATAATGTCAGCTCCAGGAACTCCTGAGACAAATTCTTTCGGTGGTAGCGCTCTGCGACGCAGCTTGCCGCGTCCAGGGACAGCAACGCCGCAATCCTCTCCTTTGAGAACCACTCCAAGTCCGCAGAAGTCGACCGCGCAGTCGCGAGCGAGAGCGAGGTCAAAATCGGCGTCGCCGACAAAAGCCACGCCGTCTCCATTTAAGCCAGTCTCATCACCTACGAGGACTCCGCAATCGCGAACGAAGCAGCTTGGCCGCTCTAGGCTACCAGACAGCAAGCCGGCGACCCCTTCGCCTGTGAAATCGGCCAAAAAGAACCTAGACGTTTTCCAGCAAGACCCTAGCACGGGAGCTAGGACGCCGTTGGTTGTTCTGACGCCACAGACGCGCCGTCTGTCCGGCGTGGGTGCCGACAGAGCTGGCTTGGGATCACCCAAGGTGGCTGCCATTTTCGATCGTCGGGAGTCGTTGAGTGATGCTACTCAGGCATTTGTGCCTGGCCAGAACCGTGGTGTTTCCTTCGCAAATCCCCGCATCATGGAATTCGAAGTCGACAACGACCGCGAGGAGGAAGAGGAGAAGGAGAACCAACGTAAGATACTTGAGCGCGAGGTTGACGGTCAAGACGACAGGGAGGCTACGCTCAACCTGAAAGAAATGATTCAAAGCATGAGCCCAATGAGGAAGCCCTTGAAGGGCCGTAAGAGTCTTCATGTCGGCAGCGCAAAAGGTCTTCTCGGCAAGCGACCATTTGAGTTATCAGATGACGAAGAGGCTGAAGCAGATGATGGTGTCAAAAGACTTAAGAATCACCAGGGGAGCCCGGTCAAGAACGTTAGGCTTCAACAGCCCCCCAGCAAAGCCGAGACAACTGGCCGACGATCGCTACGATCGTCTCAGAAGAGCCTTGAAGATTCAACACAGGAACATCAAACACCCACCCTGACGGCGCTGTCCTCGAGGGATGATGGCAATGCCACGACCCCGAGAGGACAGACCCGGTTCAAAGACATCGAAGATGACACGGCGACCCATCCGATGGACTTTGAACGATCGCCCGTCAAAGATGAGTCGTCTTTGCAGACTGACCAGGGCGAAGATCGCATCCACCTCCAGGAATTTCTCAACATGACATCGATTCGATTCATGGAATTGACGACAACGAAGCGGCGCCATACCCAGGCGCCCGAGGCCTTCAAGGATGGGCTGATTGACGACGAGGGCAACTTTCCTCTGGAGCGATGCGTCGTCGCCGGTGCCTGCACAGTTCCGATGCTGGAGCTTTACCAGCATTCCTGCCGTGAACTCAAGAAATACATTTCCGAAGGACGGAGGATTGTTCGCGAGATTGAAACAGAGACTTTTGAAGACAACCCGCCACTGTTCCGAGAGTACATGTCTGCGACACCAGAGATCAAGAATGTGCTTGACAACCAGTTCAAGAATGGCAAGTCGCATGCCCGACTTGAGAGCAAGGCGATGTGGTATGCCTGGCGTACGGCGCTCCAGGAGGGTCTCAAGGAGGGCCTCATCAGAATAGCAGAAGGCATGGATGCCGACGACAAGGTCCTTGAGCAGCAACAGACGCTCCTGTCTTCCATTCTTCCAATCCTCATCTCTCGATTTGAGGCGCTCAACGAAGAGCGAATAAACCTCGAAGCTGTGGCACAGGAACTGGCCGACTGCGACCCATCCGAGCTCGAGGCTGTTCGATCCGAGCTCGCGGATGTCGATAGTGACATGGAGAAGAAGACTAAGCAGATTGTGCAACTCCGAGCACAGCTTGAGGAATCAGAAGCAACTGTTGAGCAGCTCACTGCCCGCAAGCGGGCATGGCAAGAGGAGATTGAGGAGGCCGAGAAGATCCGCGAGGAATGTCGCGGCTGGTCGACCAGTGAGATCTCTACACTCAAGGGTTAGTTTTGAATGTTGCTCTCGTAGCTATTCCTCATGCTAACCATATCCCCAGCTCGCGTTGATGCCATTGAAAAGCAGCACGGCTGGGCCATCTCCGGCATTGCCGACTCGACTGTCTCCATGACGTACCGACGAAGCATCGAACTTGTCTTTAACATATCTGCCTTCGGCAGCACCCAAGGCAAGAACTCGCAAATCGATCTTTGGTACATCGCGACCAACGGCGACGGTAGCCCGCGAACCTCTTCGGTGGAACAGGAATTCTTCGTGCAGTGCATCCGCGACCATGTGCGGGGTCTCCCGCAGAGCCGCACTAAGATTGTCGACTTGCTTCATGTGATCCGTGCGGCATGGGACAGAGCCGTCTCCACCTGCGACGACATCCGCCGCGTCAACATGACTTTTCCCACGTCCGTCACGCGCACCTCTGATTCTTCTATCTCCGTGTGCTCATCGCTTCTGTTGACGGCCATTGAGACGAGAGTCGAGATTGTGCTTGGTCTGCGCGGTGTGAGCACCTCTGATGGACTCGACTTTGTCATCCAGCCTGACGCAAGAGTCGTATATGGAGAGACATTCAATACAGGCAAGATGGGAGAATTCCTTACCACGCACCTGGGTGAAAAGGTTGTTGACAGGCTGGCCGACTCCCCTTCGTGGAACGATGTGGTCGTTGATCTTCATGAGCGGTTGATTGCCAGGGGCAGGAAGTAGACTTGGGTGGAGCGTATGGTTCTGGACGGGATACCCTTTGATGAAGTAATGACGGAAATAGTATTGCGTTTCAGGGGTTTTCGAGCGCGGCCGGGTCAAATTTCTTACGTTTCTGAACCTTCAACAGGAAGCAAGGCAGTTTATTCCGAATGCGTGCGCACGTGCACTTACCTGATGACATTCAACTTGACCATATGACCCAGACGTTCATGGTTCTGAGATCCCAGCAGTATCAATCGCTCAGCTCCCTGACGACGACTTCGTACTGTGCATGATAAGCCCTGCCCTTCACACCCATATGATTCCGGTTGCACACTCGCCACGACAGTCTATCGAGGAGCTGGCTAGGCTAAGTGGCCGAAAGTACTGCCTGCTCACATGATAGAAGCCCGCAGTCTTTGCGAGCAGGCAGTATGAAGCTCAGAGTAGAGTATTTTTTTTCATTACTAGTACTCCAAGCCATCCATCATGACAGAACTCAATGAACTCCAGAGATGTTACACTCAAGACCAATGGATGAGGTTTATCAACGAACACCATGCAAAGAATATTTATTTCAAAACTCGAAGGCAATCAGTGGAATGACAAGGGAATTTGGTGGTAGCAAACAAAGGCAATATCGTATGCATAGCTCGGAACGGCGCGGGACATCTCGCTAGCCGCCGGAAGATCAAACGCCGCATAACCTCGTGCCAAATACTATCCCAGATCCTCAAAGCTCAGGAACGTTTCATCCTACTCTCGCCCCGTGACTTCGTCGAGCCCATGACGGGACCCTTACCAGCCAGGCTACAATTGCACCTCCCCCCACGAAGGTAACCTAGTGAGAACCATTTGATAATATTCGCAGCTTGTAAGGCAACTGTTCGGAAGCTTGGACCTACGAAGGTGCCATAAGGCTCATGACCGGAAGACATTGCGAAGGCTTGTAAATTTTCTCTTTCTCTCTGCTTTCAATACTTGTCCAAAACCTCTGATCGACTGCCAATTCCACAACGTCCTTCATCCACATCAGATATTCCATCAATCATTCACGAGTGTCTCATCAGGGGTCATCACTTCTCACTCTCCCGTTCTCATATCAATTCAATCCCAAGAATCATCGTGCTCTTTCCCATGATTTCTTACGCCCTCATCGCTGTGGCGACGGCATGCCTCGTCCTGATGAGCTCTTATCGCGAGATTCGCGAGATACATGGCTTTATCGTTTACATCGCTGTTGCCCTACTTTGTTGGGAGACCAAGTATCCACACCCATCCGCCATTACTGCAGATGCCGACATGTACTACGGAACTGGTCGTCATGTTGTGAGCACTAACTGGATGGTGATTGAGGATGGAATTTCCATTATACAGAGTTGGCTCGATTTCTTGTACGTTACCGTCCTTCCAGCATCAGGGATAGAGATTTTGCTAAGTTTTCACAATAGAAGGAGCCGGCATCCCTCATATGAAGGAGCCATCGATTCGACCTGGTATCTCCTGGAATCCGTGCTATCCTTGATGATCACTGCGACCCTTCCGGCTACATTGCTATGGTGCTTGCACCTGATCTTTGTATCATACCAAAGGATGACGAACTGCTTAGCCGACATCATGGGACCCGTCTCGAACTGGCTTGCGACTCCAAACGAGTGGTCCGTCACTGGGATGCCCGGGGCTTATCCCCTGGTTGATCGGTACGCCTTCGACGAAAGGAATGGCTGTTAGGTATCCGCCGTTCTGCTCGCCAGGCCGATCGACAACCAAGAGCCTGGGGTCCAAGACGACCTGGACGCAACAGCCGATCCCTCATCCTCCCATCACTCTCATACTATGAGCCCCGAGCAGGATCAGGAAGGGGTCACAGGTCCAGCTGTGCCCGATTACCCCTGCCCGTCAGCCCGAGAGCATGCTCTCGAGGTTGAGCTTTTGGAAATGACGTTGGAACGAAATATTGTCATGAGGGAGCTTGAGCAAGCCAACAAGGAGATGGAGGCGATGATGGCTCGGGAGGCACTTTCGAGTGCCGCTATACCCACCCTCGCCTTCTCCCCCGTCAGGCGTGTCGTGTCAATTGCCCCTCTCGCTCCGGTCGTCCAGCATACCCCGACTTTATCGGTATCGACGGCTGTAACCATGGCTATACTTCTTCCGGAGATTTCCTCCGATCCTGTTCTCAGTCTTGTTCCTCCCACGACGATTGTGGCCATTGTGCCCGTCTCCCCTCCTCTTCCGGCTCCTACCGTCCCGGTGCCCGCCATATCAAGCTTCGAAGAAATGCTTGTCATCTTCGACCAACCTAAATTCGACATATTCCGCGATAAACCGAACCGAAGCTCTCCTTCCACGGACCATAACGACGAGGAAATGGATGACGCACCTCGGTGCGGCCTCGAAGAGCAGCCGGCTTTCGCCGCTAGTCTGATATGCGTGCCCGAGAACCATACTCCCGCTCAGATAAACGCGGAGATGGAGTCTGAGGTCTCGGTTACCGTCCCACAGCAGTCGATGATTCTGAATACGGGGTTTTCACCCATTGCGGGGTATTCCGCAATGGACGTCTACCAAAGTAAAGCGGCCAATATGAGCGAGGAAGTCTACCGCAACGACACGCCTGCTGCACTAGGTGTCATGCAGCGAGACCATGCTCTAATATCACGTATACCTATAACGGAACTCCTCGAGAACACTCCTATCCCTGGAGAGCCAAACCACCCTCAAACACCCCGTATACATTTGACGGCACTTCTCGAGAACACTCCCATCCCTGCAGAGCCAGACCACCCTCAAATACCCCCTATACCTTTAACAACACTTCTCGAGAACACTCCCCACCCGACACAGCCAGAAATTCCAAGCCACGACATCAAAATGCAGGTTTCGGTCATTGAGGTTAGCGCGGGACAGGTCCCGGCCGGGCTGACCGTGGCGTCTCCAGAAGAAGTGCCTGGATCTCTTAGCCAAATGACCACAGTTGGCGAGTCCGTTAGCCAGCCTGAGATCGTACCAGGGATCACTGCTCCCATTCCTGCCACGACGGTCCCAGAGCCGAGCGCAAAGTCAGAGCCGGGTATAGCGTCAGGATCTCCGAGGCCGCCTGCACCAGAAACACCCGTTGGACCAAAGAAGCCATTACGTCGCAAACCAAAGGACCCGAACACGATGTTCGTATCCAGGAATACTGTTGCAAAGCGTAAGGTGAACTTGGGTGCCGGCCGAAAGTTTGAGTACGAGAAAGAGGCAAAGTCCTCTCCGTCGACCGCCAACCCCCCTCCCCGTACCGCCCGGGACGAACTGCCCCCTTTGCCGGCCACGCCGCAGCCTTCTAGAAACCGACCCCGCCCCCGACCACGCGAAGACGAAGATGATCCGGACCGGACTCGCAAAACGCCCGCCACCACGATCGCCGTCGTCATTCTATCTCCTCCTCAACAGGGCCCAGCTGAGATAGCCCAGCGCCGTCTCTTTGCACCCCGGAAGAGTCGATTCACTGCCCAACAGGTCACTGGCGCCCACGCTGCGGAGCTGGCTGGCCGGGAGCGGCTGGACGCGGCACTTGCCTCACGCCGTGCTGTAGAAGCGGAGAGAGAAGAGACGAAGGAGGAGTTTGACGAGAAGCTCAAGGACTAGGCTTCACTATGAGGGCGTTTCTGAGTCGTACGAGGGGGAAAGCCCTGTGACCACGAGCAGAAGTCCACGGCAAGAAAAGCAACAAAAAAAACAAAGAAGTAAGCAACACCTACTCTCGAACCAGTATCACGACCACTCGTCTTCGCTTCCGTTTCTGCACGCCCGTATTTTCTACGTCAACACGCAATCAACTTGTTTCTTATCGGTGGCATCGGACCATAATAATGTCCTCCGCACGGCATTCTCTGTTTAGGCCTCGTCGGGGCTTTGCTATCGACTTTTAACCTTGGTCCAACCACTTGTTCCTGAGCCTGAGACAGCTCTGGGTTCCTTGTTCGAGTCACCTGCGACCTTTCCGTTTTTCATCTTGTCTTGTCTTGCGTCTATACCATCCGCTTCATCTTCCACCTCGGCCCAAGCATCTTCTTGAAGGACTTCCCAGTCTGGTGCCGTCACCTCGCTTAACAGCTTTGTCTTCAATTTGTCTGCGAGTTTCAGAGGACCAGGAAGTTTGATGCTCTTCACAAAGTCCGCTCCCTCAGCACCGCTGAGGAAATTTCGAGCCGTTCCGTGGGAATAGCGGCCTACCCAAGATGTCATGCTGGCTGCGTCCTCTTGGCCATCTTTCTTGTCGACAGAGCCAGGCGATGGATACCTCTTCCCGGTCGGAACGCCAAGGAGTTGCTGGCCAATGAGCAAGTTATACAAATTGCGGCCAATGTGGCAGACGTCCTCGAAGGCGCTGCGATCACCAATCGACACACCCTGCGTGCAGCAAGCCCATGAGACATCGTACGCAAGCAGCGTCACCGCTTCAAGAAACATAGAATACGTTGCTGGATCCTCTTTAGCGAGCACAGGGAGCGTCTTGTCCACATACAACGGCCGAGGTCGCGGGCCAGGCGGGGCGTTGTTGTTGCTGCCTTCTGGGCCACCTCCGAAGTGAGAGTTGGGTGAAGTACCAGGAAAGGCGACATCATCATGGCGATACGACGAAACAAGATTGAAAATCGTTGGCCGTGGATAGTCGCGATGTGGCAGAGTTAACTCGGCAGGCAGTCGGATGGCGAGATAATAAGACGCCAGTGATAGGATGTGAGCAACGTTCGCCAACCATGTTGAGAGTTGCTCGGGGGAAGCAGCTTTCATCGTCAGCCGATATTCGTACAAACAAGTCACTTCAAAATCCACAACGGGAAGCACTTACAGTGCATTGAAGAAAGGTCCGTGATGGTCACAGATCCGATGCGGTACTCATACGGAGACGGAGAGTTGCTCTTCTTTAGGCGGCGTAGTCCAAAGAGTTTTGCCGCTTCCATGCATAAGAAGGCGCGGGTCCTTGCCATGCCGTCGGCGCTCCTTTCCCACTTGAAATTGAGAGACTGGATAGACCTCTCGGTGTCTTCCAGCTGACGGGCTCGACGTGCCGCAAGGCCATTCGACGCAGATGCGAGCTCAGCTCTTCGACGAGCAATGACAGCCCTGCGACTTTCAATTTCCGCCCGCGCAGCAGCAACCTCGGCCTTCAACCTATCGGCCTGTTCGATGATGCGACTGGTCCTGTCTTCGGCTGCCCGCTGCTTAGACAAGGAGTATCGCATGGCGATGGTGTGGTTCGGGGCAGAATCACCAGGGCGAATCTCGTTCTCCGACGACTTGACGATTTCGTCAATTTCTTTCTGGAGCTTCTCGTTCTCCAGGAGTGCCAGGGCGTTCTTGATACGGCCATCATAACAGTGGTTACGGGCATCCACGGCACATAGGAAAGGCAGGCGCTGAGCGTGATGCGACCTTCCGCATATGTCGCAGCTCATGTTGTGGATGTCGCAGTTGCATCAATATTTATTGTCGTTACCGTGCTGATATCGACAAAAAGCGTCTTGACGAACAGATGATCGTCTTTAGGGTCCTGCTCGTCGAGTCGATGTTATCGATGGACTCGGGCGCATCAATGAGGTAAAGTGAAAGGAACTTCCTGATCGGGAGAGATTTGCAGAGGAGATGAGATCAATAAAACCCTAAATAGATTATCCTTTATACCTGGATTATCACGAGGTCGATTTCAGGGCGAAGGCAGGCCAAGCGGATGAAGTCACGCGGACGTTGAACGGGTCGTTAGATCAATGAGGTACCTGAATCGATCATCAGTCATTCGTCAGCCACACAGCACAGCGGTAAGGAACGGTGCATCATCAGGCAGGCAGCG